TTTCTTATTCTTACTTCATCCAATCCTGGGATTTCTTGCACTTTGTGAGAGATATAAAAGGATTGTTTCTCTGCTGTTTACAAGCCTCATTAGCCTTCCATATGTTTTCGGGAGGCTGATAGGCTTAAATGCGATGTATACCTGAAGTATGATAACAAACCTACATACAAATGATGACAGGCAGAGGGCTAATAATTTCTTACACACTAGCAGAGAGGAACTGGTGAAATGTGAAGAGAAAACTGTTAATGAGTGCAAGAGGCATGAAACAGTGCCACGTTAGCCAGCTCCATGTCTTCTGACTGCCAAGGAAATATGGAACCCTTTGAGTGTTTTGGCAAAAACAGCAGAAGCATGGGAAGGCATTTGTGACTCTCAACACTTGTAATATGGGAAACTTATTTTAATGTTTGTGACACTGACAGAAAATGTTTCAGTGCTGAGTTGGGTGTACATTTGTGTTGCAGATGGGCCAAAGTTAGAAAACTGTTTCTGTAGCACACCTTTGACCTTGTGTTGTAGTTTCTCCTTAAAGAGAGAGAGAGGAATTGAGAGAAAAAGGACAAGCTGAGTAAATTGGACTTGGGTCCAGGTTCCAGACCTTTCAATACCTCTTGTGTTGGTTTGATGCTGGAATAAAATTGGATACTTTAGGTTTTCTTACAAACTACAGCTGCAGGAGCAGGAAGTGATTCATTCCTCCTTCCTTTGCTGATCACAGCCACAAGCTTTGGCAACAAAGGCCAGCCCACTTCCAGATAATGGTACAGAGTTTTCCAAGCAGAAAAGAAGTGCTCTGGGTGTCAGTATTTGTTTTCTTCCTTTCTTTTCCAGCAACTTTATTATAAATAAATTGCTTTTTAAAGCATGCAAAACACAACAAAAACGCAGAGATCATTCCTGCACTTTGTATTGCTTTCCTCGTCTTCCTCTGCAGAGGAAGGAGGCCAGGCTCCTCTTTCCAACCCAGTGCTTGGAGAGGGTAGGTCTGGAGCAGCCCAGCAGGGGAAGGTAGAGCCTTGCTGTTGGCAGATGGTGCACTCATCGGGAATAAGGAACAAGAAATACTTTCCAGAGAGTGTCTGGCACTGTGGCAGCCTTGTCTGGAGTCAGTTAGGAAGAGGACGAGGTCTTTGGTTGGTGTCTCCTTGCAATGTCAACTTTAGCATGTTGGAAACATCCCAGCTCATACTCAGAGATGGTTCTGTCCCCAGAAAACTCTTTGTTATGATATCACTATTGGCTTTCGTCTAAGAATTACTGTACAACTTAAATGTCAGTATTCAAAACTTGAAGTGCACAGCCAGAAGCACAGGCAAAATTTAGTTCGTGCTCCTGGCAAGACTCGCTTTCACATTTATCAAAATGACGTTCAAACCAAAGAAGTAAAAATACAGCTAAAATATCAGGTGCCATTGAATGCCTGGAGAAGCCATGGCTGGAGCCTTGCTTTTCTTTCCCTCCTATAATCAAATTTATCTACACTTCTGAACAAACATCTGCATGAAGTATTTAGTGGTTCTTTCTTTTTTTTCCCCTTGGATCTGCTTTTGTATCTTAAACAAGCTGATAGCTCAGCCAGCTTGGACATGGTGTTTGTGGCTTGTGAAAACCCTTTCATGCTCGTGGTGTCTGGGCTGTCCAAATGCAGGCTCTAAAGCCTTAGTACGCTCCAGGTGTGTAAGTGTGGCCAAACAGGAAAGATTCCAACTTCTACGCTGACCATCCTGTCCACTAAAACCATTTTTCAGCTTCAGCCTTTTTTGACCTGATGTTTTTAAATGCTCAATATTGACTTCATCTTCTGTGTCACGCTGTTGGGATCTGCTCTGTAGACCCTTCCTGTTCCAGCTTGTATTGTTGCTGTTCTGCCTGGCGCTTGTAAAGCTCAGTATGTCTCAGGTGGACTGGTGTTTCCAGGTGTAGTTCTGCAGGAGAGGTCCATCCTCTCCCAACTGCTTGAAGGAATTCCTTGGTCCTAAGTCATGCTTTTCCCCCCTGTGTTAATTTGAGATTTCAAAGAGGGAGTATTTCTGATATCCTTTGTCAGATTGTCATGGACCCACTCGGTAAGGAAAGGTCTTTGAGTAGTCAGAGGATATAGACCATTACCGAAATGTCTTCTCCTGTCTACTTCCTGAAGATGGAGCCCTATTTATAGACAGACTTCACTAGTGACCTCTCGTGGGAGAAGGGAAGAGGAAGAAATGATACAACAGAACAACAACATCTTCTATTCAGATGAGGAAAAAACTAACAAAACTCTCCAAGTAACTGGAAGGTGGAAGAGGGACAGGATTTCAAGTTGTGTGGGGCTTTTCCTTATCTAGACTGAGTTATTTTGGATTTGGGTCATTGCCACAAACCAAAGGAGCAAGAAAAGGGGTTTAAAATTTTTTTTAGGTATATTTTAGGCTTTGAGAAGGCAACTTTTGGTCATCTTCAAGGCACAAAGAGGAATAGGAAAGAGGAGGCAAATGTGGCCCATATGGCTTGTGGCAGAAATTGCTGCTAGCCCTGCTTCAAAAGACACATTTTGTGGAAAGTAACAATCCTGATAAAGGAAAGAACTCTGGAATAAATACACTAATGCCATATTTTGTTCTCACTTGTTGTGAGAATTGGGAGCCATGGTTTATGTCTGTAAGGATGGCAGAATGTACTCTGTTCACCTCCTTCTTTGTCTTTTGCTGCTGAAAATAATCTTCTTTCACATTGAAACATCCCATACTTGGCTGCTGCCAAAAGTGAAATTTTAATTTTGATGAAAAGTTTAAGGTGTTTTAAGCTTGAGAAGAGTAAAAATAAACATTTCCTCTCTTCTAAAGCTGATGCTGTAAAATGAGGTGTGTGTGGTTTTGAATGGCTGTAGAGCTAAAACAGCTAAATTACAAAATCTGGAGATTAGCTGTGATTGTAGAGCAGTGTATCTTTATCCTGGATGGACTTGGTTTGGATTTCTCTACTGTTGTTCAGAGCTCAGGGTGAACTGGAGAAGGAATGTATTGCATGTGACACTTCACCTCAAACTGACCACCTCGCCAAGCTGGAACCTGAAACAAGAATCGCCTTTGCAGAATGAGGCAAATGGGAAGGAAGAACCATCGTGGAAAGATGGTACACAACTTCTGCTTAGATTTTTGTCAGCTTTAGCTAAATAATTACATGGAAGGTTCCTCTGGTTCAGTGTGTCATTTTGAACAGGAAAGGAGAGAAGTAGGATAGACTAACATGCCAGATCCAATAGGTCCAGCAACACACTGGATAGACTGATAGAATTCAGGCTGTGGAGAAATGGTTTGCAGGAGAGTTACAGCTTTTAGATCTTCTGACGGATATTTGTGGTTTGATGAATAAATTACCATGTCCTTTTAGCTGTCATGACTCCAGATTAGACAGAGTGGGGCATTTCACTGGCAAGCAACTTCCAGCAGGAAGGTGTGGCATCTGTTTAAGCATCAGCCTTAGTTTTGAGCTCTGCTTCTGGGCTTGAGATGCTGCCAGTTGTGCTGATGCTTTCATTGGAAGAGAAGAAACATGCTCTCATAAAATCCAGTAGATAGTGGAGATTGCTTCTGTTAAAACCTGTAGCATTTCTGCTGCCCTGACTCAGTGATGCTGCCTAGAAACCTGGAGAGGATGAGGCAGCCAAAGTGATGTCGGCCGTAGTCTAGGATTTCCCTGACTCCTGTGGCAATGTGACAAATTGAATATGACAAAATTATTTACAGGGACACCTGGGTCCCTGTAACAGGAGTGCCAGTGTGTTGGCAAAAGACATGGAAATGTTAGGCAACTCTGTGTGCCTTCTCTGTAGTTGTGGAGTGTTTAATCTTGCCATCCTAGTTTTTGCCTGTCTCTGTTACCATCTGTATTTGTTGCCTGTTGTAAAGTGATGCCATGTAAAACAAGGAAAGTGAGAACTTCCCTTGCGGAGTTTATGCTCTGCTGCACAGCAGAGGTGGGGCATTCATTAAAATGTACTCTGTGGGCAGTGGTCAGCGTGTGTGGCAAAGATGTCCTTGGTGTGCTGGGGGCTTGTATTTTTGTGTTTTCACCGTGTTGCTGCTGGTGATGCTCTGCTGTTGTCAGCCAGGAAGGTTAGGACTTGGGTTTGTAAATACGCCTATTTCAGGAAGCAACCACGTAAAGGCAACCCCGGGAGAGGAGAAATTGAAGGATTGCTTTTGTGCTCTCAAGATTTCTCACTTGTAAGTCACCCTTCTGAACTGGGATGCCGTTGATGTCGTCCAGCAGTTGTCTGGTCGTTTTTCCAGCTCTTGTGTGCGGTGCTGCTGCCTTGCCTTGCTTTGCACAGAGAGCAACACAGAGGTTCCTGTGCTGCATGGCTGGCTGCATGAGCAGCCCCCAGGGAAGGATCCTTGAATCAGTGCAGGCACACAGCAGAACAGCACGGTGTCTGGGACCACGGCCTGCTTTGTAGATGGGGCTGTCAGCACTGCCAGTTGTTCTAAATCCAGCTAGAATTGAACATACATGTTTGTGTACAGTTTTGTTAGATGTCTGGCATAACATTCCAGGCTTGCAGCTGCACGGAATTTGGTAGCTAAGTTTTCCTTACATAATGTATTCATATAAACTATGTCAATTGTACTTTAAGGCTGATGAAAGTTAAAGTTTAGGGGTGCTTTTATTTGAATATAGATAATTTTATTATGCCTGTAGATCTGGATTACAAGCAGACTGATCTTTGTTTTATCAGGTGAAGATTATGTGGGGGAACATAAAAAACAGAGCATCAAAATCCTTCAAACAATTAAAACTGAAGAATTTCTTTCCTGTCCACTAATGCTTTGAATGACAGTATTATAATGACACAGGATATCACATTTTTACATTAGATACGACATGAACCTTATCCATGTAACATAATGACAGCCAGAAACTTCTCCACCTGAGTATTTAACACTTTACAGTCAAGTACCTTGCAGACCCTTTGTGTGTGTGATATGTTTTGCTGTGTTTATTATGTTTTCCAGTATATTCGAAAAAGATCCCAGTGGAGTTGATTCCACTGCAAGTTCTCACCACCGGACCAGAAATCTTCTGGAGTTCTCAGCTGGCCAGGAGTCCAGTGCAGCTCAGAGAATACCTGAGGGCATCATTCCTGAGAAGAGTAATAGGTGAGATGAAAACCTTTAACATATTTTGAGTGGCAGAGGGCAATGGTGCTTTTAGCTCTCACCACCTTACTGACCTTTTCGTCCAGTGCTATTGCTGCTTTTATAGAGCAGCAGAGTTTACAAACACTCTGTTTTGAAAGCTGGTCTTTTATTATTTAGCAAAGTTTACCAGGTTGTTTTTCAAATAAACATGGTATTTTATCTCCAGGATTACCCAATACGTAGTGCTTCACAAGTGTACACGTGGCTGTGCTGTGTGGTGTTAGGGAAGAGAGCATATAAACAAGGGTATGTCAGAGACTTTCAGAACCTTTTTCAGTTCTTCATCTGCCTGCTTTTTACTAGTCTATATTTTAGCTTGCATAGTTCTGATATTTGTCATATTATCTAAATGTGCATACTTTTCAAGCTGGAGTATTTACTTTCTTAGTTGCTCGAGAGAAGACTGGGGAAGTTCACAATTAAGAACACACTCTGAACTTAGCACTGTACATTTTTATAAAACCCTGAGTCCATCCTTGTGCTTATGCATTATTTAATTAAATACTGGCTTTCAGGCTTCCTAAATCTCTAGCATGCAGTTCATAAGTGAACATATAATTGCCTCCAGATTGAAGTCTGGCTAATACAGCTCATGTTTTCCCCTTACAAGATTTATCCTATTAGACTGTCCCTTTCCAGTAGAGTGTTTTGGCTGGTTGAACAAAGCCAGGCACAGATGTGCAGAAAGCCCTAATGTATTTTGCCATGCAGAAAGAAGGCAATAAATCAAGAGCATTTTAAGGCTGTAGCCATGGTGAGGGCTTTGTGTCCTGTGTGGTACATTTCAGACCATGACTTAGGTGATGTAAGAGTAGACTAGTTCTCTTAGGAGGATATGCATATGCCTGTATCTTCTCCTTTTCTTTAACTGTTTCACCCTGGTTTTGGCAAGCTGTGAGCTGCAGTCTCCTTTATCAGTCCTAGATGCAGTAGACAGGAGAAGCAGACATGGAGAGAAAGCTGGGAAAAGGAAGGGAATGTAAATGAGGCTTTCATAAGCTCTTATACCTGATTTTTCAGAAAGAAGTTGAAGTTTAGTCTATCAAAACGTACAGGACTAAAGCTGTTACATTGATAACTTATCAAGGGAGAAACTTTTAATAGGTATTGTGGTAAGTAGCTAACCCCTCAGGAGGTGTTTTGTACTGAGAAATGGATGCTCCTTTTCACTTTTTACCAAAACCAAGCTAGATTCTGGAGACATTTGGAGGTGTAAATCCTCTTCATTCAGTTGTAATATAGTTTGTGGCTGCTCCATTCTTGTATAGCTTGGGGTCTTTATATCTGCATGGTTTTAGTGGTTAATAAATTTAGTATTTCTGTAGCACAACTCTGGAATGAAAAAGAAGGTTGCCTCTGCAGAGATCACATAGTTTACATACTATGAGGAATATTTTACAGGCTACATTTTCTTTCAATATCTGACCTTTATGGGAAGAGATCCAACATCTGCTAATGCTCAGCTGTCTTCCCGGTGTTGAGTGCTGTCAGACCCCTTTGAGGAATTGACTGAGAACATTGGATGTTTGATAGGAATTGTTATTCACCTGTTTCAAAGGTCCCAAGGGAGCAGCTGTAACATTTGTGGGCCTGCTGATGCTAGTGCTCATTCTCTGGATTTGGTCAAAGGTTCATGAAAAAGTATTTGAAGGGGTTTCTAGATTTCCTTTTCTTTATTTTCCCAGGTATGATGGTTCTGTATCTGATAATAAAGCACTAATGATAGTCTCAGAAGAGCCACTTTTATATATTTCACCACCCCCGCCCCCATGTCGGCCTCTGATCAACCGGACAGAGTCGCTGAGGTGAGCAAACAGCCTTTTCTGAGTGTTTAAGGTTTACTAGGAGTTGAGATATAAATTCTGTGTTGGCTGAGGGCTGCTGGATGGACAGCTGTGAGTGATGTTATTGTACATTCATAGAGTTCATCCAGTACGTGACCAGTGTCTGCACTGTCCGATGTCTGCTGCCGTAAGGACAGATCGACTGGGATCTTTGTAATCTTTCGATGGTTTTAGTCATGATTTTCACTGTTTTCACACTGGTCATGCACGATAACTGAATAACAGTTTTCTGACTGGAGGTTTTTTGTGACTCAAAAGAGAAATTGTTCATAGGAATGTTCATGATATGAAAATCAAGTCCAGCCTTTTCCACCTGAATTACATAAGAGATGGTCTTCCATTCTTCAGCTTCTGATACAAGCAAACTGAACTTCACATTGCAGATGTGCTTTGTTCACTGTTAGAAAATACCTACCTCCACTTTTTCCATAGATGTGTCACTAACCTTATCTCCATCTTCTTTGTCCCTTCCTTCTCTCGGATTTATTTGCCATAGTTTAGCCTTCTTAACCAATAATTTGTCTTGATCAACTTTTGATTTTGAATTTCTAACTCTAAAATTACTGTTCACTGGGCAAAAGGAACTACAGTATCTACTTTATGTTGAAACATCCAGGAGTGCAATACTTTATCAATATTCTCTTACACATTCCCTCATAAATTTCACCTTACAGTTTTATTTTATTACTCTCTTATTAAAAATAAATGATCATAAGATAAAAGAAGAGTAATCTACAGTGCGTCTTTGTGTTGGCTAAACCATTTTATAAAACTAAAAAACTCTTCCATTGCTCTTTGAAACATCTGTTGCTGCTGTGGGTTTTTCTAGGCTGAATCACGAACTTCGAGGATGGGTTCATAGACACGAAGTGGAGCGAACAAGGTCTAGAAGGTTATCAAATAATCAGCAGCAGAAAGCACGGGTTATGCAGGTATGCAGGTTTACACTCGTGACTCAACAGCATGACAAGATAATTTCAGTCAATGTGAAATATTCTCTCTTACTTGTTTGCACTTGTTATTATAGACAAAAGTAGCAATGGTGCCTGTAATTAGGGTACTCAACACTTCCCATTTTAAATTGCTGGGTTTGGTTGATTATTATGTTGTCAAAGTTGTTCTTCCATTCCTGCTCTTGGATTCAGGCTAGAAGTTTTGAGTTTTTTTAGCAGTCATCAAAATAGGTTGAGCATTTTCTGAAATTAAACAAATAGTTAGCCTTTTTGTGGCTTCTCTGTAAAGATAAGCAGTTGGTTGCAACTGCACATTCATCTGCCTCACTGTTAAGGGGCACAGCTAATTGATTTTGTTGAAATATTTCTATTTCATTTTTCAGATTTTTGCCAGAGGGATTGCTTTTTGGTCAGACTACAGAATTATGAGACTTGTGCTCATATCTCTCATTTTTTGAAATCCCTTTTATATACATAAATCCTTTTATCTGCATGGCATACTGGTACCAGGGCTGAAACAAAACCAGTGAATTTTCAAACTGTTTTATTTGATTAGAGGAAGTAGCAGCTTGAAAAGGAATTGAACTTAACATGGGAAATAATTCACTTTTCTAGGGGAGAGGTATTGTGCATTAAACTTCAGATTCCTTTCACTGATGTCCAAAGGAGATTGGTAGAACAGTTAAGGAGAGAAAATTCTGTGTGCTTTTAGTGTTTCAAACACCAGAAGCATGTTGTGAATAGTATATTTTAGCAGAGGTGCAAAGTGGATGTGACCTCAGAAGAATTCTGCACATCTGATGTCAGTGGTAGTGAATTTTTCAGTTGGATCACAAAGTATGTGCAACTGTTGGGTTTGGTGCCAGGTTCTCTTCTTTGTCCCTGAATGTGTGACTTTAAATTTGGCTGTATTATTATACTTGGCACTGATTAACCTCTGCACCCCATTGTAGTCTCTGTTACAGATGTGCCACATATTTTATGTGGTGGCAAACCAAGAAAATGCTTATTGTTTGCACTTTGCGTCACCTTTTCATATTCCCGCTTTTTCAGAGCTCCCTGAGTGAGAAGGCAGATTCCCAGCTGATGGCCATGCCTTACACAGACACCCAGTCTCAGGTAAGGCAAAACAGCTCCTTTTTTACTGCTTTCTACTTCATAACCCAGCTTTTCACCAACAGTTGGTACCAAAAGGCCAGTTTTCACTTTGTCAGAATTCTTAAGCCAAATGCAGCCTAATTTCTGTGCCTTAGCAAATAATTGCTTCCAGTGATTTAAACTACACTTAAAGGGACCCCCATGTCACAGCTCCGCTCTTCTTGGGTCTTTCTACCAATAATCTTACAAAAATCTTTACTTCACTCAGCAGAATCCCTTTCTAATCAGATTTGAATATTTAGGGAAAAAGGAGGAATTGACTTGGGACTGTCTGTGAGAACATCATTAGTTTATAAGAAAGTTTCAAAGGGCCGTGAGTCTGGTAAGAGAAAGGTTTCTTTGACTATCTTCAAGAGTAGAGCCATTATAGCTAGAACAAAATTATAATGACGAAGTTAAAGTACCATTGCACCTTATTTGCATGGTTTGTCTCCCTCTCCTGATTTTTCCATGCTGATTATTGGAGCACCCTAATCCGGAGAATCCTGATGTCCCCTGCTCCTCCTCCACATAACTATCCTGTCCCTCTTCTCTGGTGACAGGAAGTACTGGAGCATAAAACTTGAGGAAATAAATTCCTCTCTCCTGAATTCTGTGTGAGACAGTTTAGGAGGTTCTCTGCTTTGAAGTGTCAAAGTGGAGTGTAACAGCAGAATGGAGCATAAAGGGGACTTTTTGTTGAGAACACCACCTGAAATGTTGCTGTGGAAAGTGAGACAGCTGTGGGCCTTCTGTTTGCATTGCTGCTTTGAAAGCAGGATCAGCCAGGGGGAAAACAGCAAAGCTGCAGGCAAATGTTACGGAAACCAGGCTGTCAAATTTTGATATGTCTTGACTTACAAGAACAACAAAAAAGCTTTTTGAGTTCTACAGGTAGATGAAGAATATCTGTTTTAATTGAACAGTGATGAACAAGCCTCATAGCATAAAACAGTTTAATATGTGTGCTTGCATTACTCTTGAAAAAATTATCTGGATTACTGGAAACAGTGTGCAACATCATGTAAGTCTGCATGGAATAATCTGTTGTGCTCAGAAGGAAGTGAGATTTTTTTTTATTTCAGATTAATGATGTTTATATGAACAGGACCAGTGAGTCATGGCAGCTGCATGCTATGACTGTCCTGGAGCTGCTAAGAACATAGAACAGATTTCCAGTTCCTCCCAGAGCCATCAGCTATTAGGTGCTCCATGAAGTCATAGAATCACAGAGTAGTTGTGAAGAACCTCTGGAGATCTCTATTCCAATCTACGACTCAGAGTAGGTTTAACTGCAGGTTTATTGTATGTTTCTCTTAGAAGACGTGGTCTCCATCTCTCTTGTAATCTCCATCAGGAAGCTGAGTATTGCAGTTACAGACCCCTCAGCCTCCTCTGAGCTGAACAAGCCCTGTTCCTTCTGTCTTCTGTCTTTCCTTGTGCATCCTGTGCTCCAGGCCCTGTCCATAGTGCAGCCCACTATGCAGTTTCCCTCCAGATCCCTGCTGGCTCACGTTCAGCTTCCCTCAAGCACCACAGCTCCTTTTTGCAGCACTTGTGCCTCATCACTTGGGAATAAACTGCTGTTTATTTAGTTTGGTTGTTGATGTTACCCCTGTGCAGTATCCTGTCGAGGTGTTTAATTTGTAATACCAGTGCTGTGACTGGAAATTGAGTGACCTTTGTCTTCTAGAACACCCTTCTTGGTGACCTTAATTCAATGGACAGGAGGACATTAGCAGCATCTAGATTTATCTTTTTAGCACTGATTATACCAACACTGTCATGTTGGTCCTGGATTCCAAAAGAAATTTCAATAATTGAAAAAATTGCAGAGAAGTGAAAGCAGGGGATGAAGACAAAAATTAAGATGATTTCGAAGAAAATCTTCAAAACCCCACATCTGTTCATGCAGCTTCCTTCAGAGGTGGTTTTGTTGAGGGTTTCTGCAAGTGTGTATTTTAAGGCTTTAGATATTAAACTCTTTAGTTATTTTCTTGTTTCTAAGTTTTTCACTATTGAAATTACAGTTGTTGATGCGTAAAGCCCTATATCCACAGTCTTACTCCTTCTCAGAACAAGCCTGTGTGCAACAGTGCTCTTCAGTCTTTTAAAATAAGAAAGACTCATTTGTCTCCCAGGCTCAGCACCAGTGTTTGGATGTACATTTAATATGATGCTTTCTTGTAATATGTGAAGGTGTTAGTAAAGCAACTGATGTTTTTGCACCTGTTTTTGGCTCTGAAGTTCCTCCCTTCCTTGCATGGGGAGGTCCATTGCAATTACCCATGGGTGTTCAAAGGCAGATGCAAATGGAATGCCTGTAATCCCTTGGTATCTCTTGGAATTAGGGACTACTGTTAGATTTGTTCCATGACCAGGGGAGCTTTGTAAAGGCCCAGTGGTTTCCAAGTGCTTTGGAACCGTTTTCTCCCATGGCTGGATTTAGAGTTATAAAAGGCTGGGTTTTGGGTCTAGCTGTATCTTGTGGAGTGTGGGCGAGCAAACGGATCTGTGGGGCCGGTTTCAGCTTTCAGGATGCGTTGTACTGAGCAACACGTGGGCGTGATGCCTTTTATCGCAGAACAACTTCAATGCTGAATCTCAGGGGTGGCTTGGTGGGCCTACGTGTTTTCATGAATGAGTAATCAAGCTCAAATTAGCTCCAGTCTTTGTTTCCTGTGTGTGAGGGATGTGATCTGATTCCTTGCTTGCATAGTTCTGCAGAAGAGGATGTGTAGTGTAGAGCTGCCTGCTCTTGATCCCCCAGGACTTACACCCCCAGTCCTGTTCAAGGGCAACTGGCGTGGCAGCTGCAGTCCTTCAGCTGGAACAGGACTATGTTAACAGTACAAGAGAAGATAGTGACAGTCTGCTATTACTACTGCTTGAGAAAATCACTTGATGATAGATTTGTGCCTTGTTTTGGGCGCACGGTCGTATTTTAGAAACACGTGAAAATAGTCTAAATTAACCACCACAGTTTAAAACCTGGGTCAGCAGAAGAACAGCTTGGGAGGGGAGGGATAGTGTGATCAGTGTCCTTGCCACAAACACTGCAAACACACACTGTGCTATTAAAATAAAATGACTGGTTGGATGCCCAGATAATGGTTTGTGTAAGTATAGCCTTCCAATTTGTTTAAATACGTTATTTTGGAATGGGGTTGGGGAAATTTACATGATAGCAGTATGTGCCAGGAATTTCTCACCTTTCCAAGATAAACAGTGGATAAGTACCGTGATTGTAGGACTTGCCAGTATTTTTGCTTTAGAATGGTTTAGAGCATCTTTTCCTTGTGTCTGATACATGTAAGATGAGAACTGTGGATAAGATAAGCCAGAATTATATGAATATCTTATTTTTGCTCCACTGCCTGAATTGAAAATCAAGAGTAAATCTTTGAGTTGGCCAAGGACACGAGGAAAAAAATGGAAAGGTGAGAGGTGAATTAAAAGGGTGAGAGAGAAGGTGAAGTTGTCATTTGACAGTAAATTAAAAGCTCTGTTTATGCTTAACTTTGCACTTCTTTCCATTTCAGTGGTTTGGATTCTTAGCAGTAAAAGAAAACTAATGTTTTGATATTTTATTTCAGAAGGACATTACATTCTAAAATTTATTTTCAGAAGTCATCATGGTTTTTCAGACACTTCAGGTTGAAACTCTTTTTTTTTTTCTGTTGAGCTAGCAAATGGGGTTTTGCCAGCCTCAGAACCATGAATAAAAACAAGCCTGGAAAAATTTCCTAAAGTAAGACCTCTAAAGCACCTTGAACTTTCAGAAAGTACCCAGTAGTTTCACTGTCTTCACTTGTGTTTAATGTTCCTCGTGCTTCTCTCAGTGGATGAAGAGCTACTGTTCCTTTCAAAAGCAGGTCTTTATAAAGTCATTGTCTTGCTGAAGTTAACTTTCTTGTCTAAAATAATTACCTTTCCCCCTTCTTTATTTCAGCAGGAACTCAGGGAATGAGCTGCAAGTGTACTATGCCTCTCCGAGGAGCTATCAAGACTTCTTTGAAGCGATTCGCCGAAGGGAAGATACTTTCTACGTGGTGTCATTTCGCAGGGTAAGTGTAGTAGTTGTGTAATGCTGGCCTTTTATTTGTGTCCACAAAATGTGACTTAGTCAAGGCTGAAGCTAAATTTGTTTCTTCTGAAGTGGTGCTTCTGTATATCCCGTACATGGCCAGATCATGGTCTGTGCAAAATATGCCCATCGCAGTTGGAAATGGAAAGACCTTTGCAGAAAACATCATAGTGCCAAGGCAAGACAGCACAATATGGCATGAACCCTGTGGTCAAACACACATTATAGCTATTTAATAGGTGTGTAAGCCTTTTGTGCTTCTGGCTATGGGAATAAATGTACCCTGTGCACGAAGTATTTCCGTTAGCTTAACATAGTATTGTTTCTCTCTTCCGCTAGAACTCTTGCATGTGCAGTTTTATGTGTCACATCTTGCAGCTGTACATGACTGTGTGCAGCAGCACAATTTTTCTGCTGTTTTGTGACTTGTAAGTTGAGACAGATGAGCAGTTCTGCTGTCTGTGCTTCGATAAAGCACAGGCTTGTGCTGCAGCTTTGTCAGGCACGTCCTCACATCTGCAGTGCAATTAGTGACAGTAAAAGATGTTATAAAATGTGATTCCAGGTGTTTGATGGTACTTTCTGGAAGCCAGGACAGCTGCAGTAGTGAGAAGCTGCTTGGGATGTGGTGATGGAAGTGATCAAGGCAAACAGTGGTTGAAACACCAGCCTGGGGTTGGAGAAGTTTATTCCCTCCTTTTTGCAAGGGTCTTGATAAGTCATTAGATAATGTCTGTAATGGACATTTGTCCCAGGACTGAACATGGGGTCTTGGCTTGCTGAGCCCTGCTATTTTGCAGTTGGGATGTTAGATGAGCATTGTTATATACATGTTCACACCCAGCCATGGTCCCCCTGGGGCCCTGCAGATCTCCATTTCCTTGTCTTAGGAGTGTTCTGAGAGGGGTCCCAAGGTAGGGGGGACCAGCAGTGGCCACGACAACAGCTCATCCAGCTGTAACCTGTGTAAGAGCACACAGATAAGCCTAAATAGTTTTAGCAGTTTCTGTATTGTCATAACTTCACCAATTTGTTGATGCCATGGGTACACAGGTAATACAGCCTCGTTCCACCTGGTACACTCTACCTTTTTTTAATTTGTGAAATGCATGTCTTTAGAAAAGGTTCAGGCAAAATAAAAATAGTGGTGCTCTTATTAGCATTAGGGCTTTATGCTGAATAGAAATATGAGTTTAGTTTCCAGTCTTGGGATTTCTGGGTTGTGTCACAAGGCTGGAATTTTGTTATTAAATACTTGGCATGTTCTGCTGTTCTTTCAGCTAGCAACACAAATATAGCCAGCACCAGGCTCCACATATCCTGAGGACGAGGAGGAGGGAATGGAGAATAGAAGCTTTTCTGGAAACTCAGAACAAAAAGCTGAATAGTGTTTGTCTAGGTCTGCACTTTGGGCTATTGCTCCAGTCCACCTGAATGCATGTACTTGTACATAGGTCCTGTTTATGCTGTCGGGTTAATGACCTGGAAGTTGTCAGCTCTCATTTCAACTTGCAGATCTGTCCTTGGAAACAGTGTGTCTTGTGCCTCAGAGTCTCTACAGCTTGGCTCTGCTCCTCTGCAGGGAGAGATGCAGAGGCTTTTTAAACCCATCTAGGAAGTTTATTTGGTAGCAAAGCTGTTGGTGTTTCTGTTTTATGAATGAAATGTCCTCAAATCGAAGGCAGTTTTATGCATTACCTCATTTATTATCTTAACGGGGCAAACCTGATCTGGTGGCAAGCTCTGCCCTGAGGCACTTTTAAATGTCTTGCTTGGATTCTTTTGTGAGTGCAGAAGAAAGGACTCCTGCACAGCCCGAGGGGTGCCATCAGCAGGGCCCCAGCGAGGGAGGTGCCCTTTCACCTCCTCCTGAGGGCTGCTGACTTCATTTTCTTTGGACCACAATTCCCTTTTCACTGATGATTAGGAGCTGAGTGGGGACTGATTTCCTCCTCAGTTCACTTGTGTTGCTTTCTCTTGTCCAGCTTAGGAACCAAGGCCTGGAGATGATAGGTTTTGTTCCCTCCCTGGCTGTTTGCCATGCAGACACTCCCAAACACTTAATAAGCAGCCAAATAACGTAACAAAAGAACAAGAATCATCCAGTTAAAAGTTCCAGGGAGTGGATGGTTCTGGTATTGGTAATTGTCCTGCTCTGAGTGGAGGTGGGACTGTGGATGTCCAGAGACCCCTTCCACCTGATATCCCCGGATCCTCTTTCCATGTGTTTTCTGCTCTGTGTGTAGCATCACTTAACCTAGCATTTCTCCTGGATGCATATGCTAAATTGCAAGAGATTTTTTGTGTGTGTGTTCTCAATTGGACTACAGGATCTGTGCTCTGAGTTCCTTGGATTTTCTAGAAAATGGCATTTGCTAGGGCTACCCGAGCCTCTCATACAGTAGGGCTCAGCCAGGGCTTCTGAAGATGCAAGGCTGGAGAGCAAAGCTCTTATGCACTGTGTCTTCTTCTGGCAGCGCTTGGTTCCTGTAAGACTGAGTTTTCCCATGATCTCATAAATTTTATTTTCTTTCCTTGCCCTGGAAGGCTTGCAGGTATGCATATTTACAGTTGAAGTTTGTGTGGGGTTTCTTTTTTAAGGAGGAGAGAGGAAAATAAAGTAGTATTTGGATCAGCTGAATCCATACAAAAGAAGCAGGGCTTTCACTTTGGGAATCTAGAGAAATTAATTTTCTGCTATTGCCAGGGGAATCTCTAATGTAATTTTTAAACAAGAAGAAATATGCCATTAACAGTGAGTAAAGAATTCTTGAACTGAAGCAGTGTTGTCTCCCAGCTCTGTCAGGCATCAGCAGCCAACATCCCTCGTAGGCAGGGCTCTTCACCATTTCTTTCTTCAGATAGTAGCTTGCTAATTTTAATTATTTTCTTGCTACTTAACTTTTAGAAAGCCATTGTTTTCAGGAGTCATTTAGCATTGCAGGGCACTCTGCTCTCCCCAAGTGCTCCAGCGCTCTGAAGTGATGTCTTTGCACTGTGCCTCCAGGTTACACAGGTTTGGATTGTCTTTGAGAGCACACCCCAAACTGGGAGGTCCATGCAGTGGGTGCCGAGAACAAGTTGCCTGGTTCTGTGCAAAGGGTGCAGCAGTTTGAGCTCTGCTGGAGCACACTGGAGTCTCCAGTTGGTGTTGAACCATCCTTTCATTTGTCCCAAGTCTGAGAGGCAGAATGGAGAGCCTGTTGCTCCGCCAGCACCCTTTATTTCTGCCCTGTAACGTCTGTGATACCAAGTCTGCTTGATCTGTTATAAATAAACCCCAGTGGAGCACGGATACAAAACCCCAAGTTAGTTGATCCAAGGGGCTCTGTCTGCAGGGAATAGACACCTGGCTGCTGCTGCAGCTCTCTGTAAGCCTGGCACCCACACAGCTCCCTCTCAGAGCTCACATTTGTTTTGCCATAGAGTGAGTATTCAGGCCTTGAGATTGTTTCTAGAATTACCTGAATAGCTAGCTTAATTTGAAAAGTAATTAAGTAAATCATTGGAGAAAACAAATCCCTTCCAATTTACTTTGGCCTGTCATGCTGCTTGGGATCATTCCATTCTTGTGTGGTTGGGATCAGAGTTCCCGCAACTTGGAGTGATTAACCAGTAGATTTCCCCCTCCTGGAAGGTTCAGTCAGTGACCCTTTGATGACATGGCTGCAGGCTTATTTAGGGACAGTGACATTTTTTAGGGTAAGAATGTAATTACTGTTCTTAAGGAAAGCATGGTTTAAAGTTTGATTCACTTGGGAAATTCAGAGGGCTGCTGGCATTTCCTCTCGCTGCTTTATCTATTTCAGAGCACAAATGTCTCCTGATATCAAAGTTTGCCACTTGCATTTAATGCAGTGCATATACAGTATCTTACAGAACACTGCGGTAAAAAGTAAATACTAAAAGGTGCTTCTGGTTATTATTTGTTAGAGTGAGAGTGATGTGTCCCTATGGAAATCAATAGCAAAGCCTTTACCAACTTGAGTAGGAGCAGAATTTCACTTGGTAAATATCTGCTTCAAGTGCCACAAACCATAGAGCTTCAAGGAAACCTCTTATTATGAATGTGAATTTCTGGTCCTTCAAGCCAACATCTGCAACGAGCATTTAAGGGTTTCTCGAGTTCTGCAAACAATTTTTCACTGAAGTGATTAAGCCAAATTTAAATCAGAACTTTTGTTCTTTCTTTGTGTGCTGGGAATAAAAATGTCTAGATTGTGTTGTGCTTCTGTTGGTAATAAGCCTGTGCTGTGCTAATTGTATTTGGGATGATATAATTGTATTTGGAATGATATATTACTTTCAGGAAGCAAAAGATTATAAAGCCTGGCTTTGACATGCTTGTGTAGCAGTTGGTTGCTGTGCTGCACACACTTCTGGCAACAATAATTTGAATGTATTCAGAGAGCACGAGACAGGTTTCAATTCACTGCACTCCTGATGCCGTCTACATCCTGCAGGCAAAACTGCTGGATAAGAAGTTGGCTTCAGATGACGTCTCATAGCCAGAAATTCAGTTCTAACATATACTTTTCTCCTACTTTGTTGCACTTGACAATGGGTGGTTTTTACTGAACACGAAGTTTTCTGCTGTTTACTTTGTTTGCGGATTTCTGTGGACTGGGGTGTGTAATTTGGTCTTTCATTCAGATAAAATGCCCTGATTAGACTCACACGGTCCTGCTGCTCCTAAAGACATAGCAACTATTTCATATGTTTTCAACTGCTGCAAGTTAATATGCAGATTTTTAAAATATTTTGCAAACTCCCCTTTCTCCTGGGGAGCCTGACCTTAGCTACTGAGAGGAAAAAAGTTACTTTATCCCAGGATCCTAGGATTTTAAGATCTTGTCCTATATTGTATACAGATGCTGAGAATAATATGTGTTGAAAGAACTGAGGCTCAGGGCATGGTATCCATGATAAAATTGCCTGTCCTTTTCAAAGCAGAGGTCACCCTTTAGCCTGTCTTCTCTG